TCGTAAATGCGCTAACATGAAGACCTAGGTGTGAGGATAATCCAAGATCAACGTTCGTGCGAATGAGGGGGGAGTTGAGGATCCGCAGGGCTGGAGACATGCTGCGAAAAGGGAAACCCTGTGTCGGAGGAAGGAGTGGCCGGATCAAGGAGTGTGAATGAACACGATTCACGACAAATGGTTTGTGTGAAATAAGGTGTTACAAATTGTCCGTAAGTGTAGCCGCACGCTCAAAGAAGCAATGCGCAAGTCCAATGCCGAACGCAGGCCCCAGCGTCCCAGTACGGGAGAAAGGCAAGCCCTCGTGCAGACGGTTTTTCTGTCTCTGCCAAAAGCTTTAATCACTAAGTTGTCTCTGCTGCAGCGCTTCGTAGTTTACTCTGCTACAAACTATGGCCAAAGAACATGGATTGATAGACCTTGTGGATTGGGATATGAAACAGCTAGTTGAGCGTTTGCGCCTGTAACTGTGCACACGAACACTTTGCTGGTTTTGCTTATGAGGCCCGCAGGTCTTCGGCTCAGGAGTTTTCCAAAAATGCAGCCCTCATAAGTCAATGCTTTAATCTATAATTGGTAGTAGAAAGAGAAACCAGTTGATGATTCAGTTTTGTTGCGAAATGTTACCTTGTGCTGCCATGTTTCTATGATTTCCACGTTGCAGTGTTTATTAAAAAGTTTTTTTTAAACAAATTTAGTTTAGCACTTGCTACGTAGTCATTCAACAAAGCCATTAGGCACGTAGTTGTTAACTTAAGTTGGAGGCATTTGTTGAGCTGGATGATAATGTTCAAGTCACTGGTTGCAGAGGCCCAGACATGAGTTTCGGACCGACACGAATGCCATTATCTGTTGAGATATGGTTACACAAATCAGATAGCGGGGGATTTTAAAAACACCAGAGGCAACGGAGACGGCCGTTCATTTCAGTTGTGCTGTGCGCTTACAGGATCGTGTGCACAGACTCACGGGAGTGATTGTCTACACGAGAACATGCGCCGCACAAACTCTGGGCAGCCGATAAAAGGAGAGACGGAACAGACTCGCGGTTATTAGAAGTGGTTGATTACCGAAGCGTCCAGGATTACCGAGTCGGAGATGATGGACGTCAATAAATTCAATTTACTGCAAGTGCATAATATAAAATTAATATTAACTGTACCAGGTCTTCCATAAACGATTCTTTATAGTGCAATAGAAAGGGCCGTAGCTGTATGATGTGAACTGAAAGAGGAAGAGGTTACGTGCATGGATATTCTGGATTTGGACGGCTATAACTTTGGTAATATTCTGTAGGATCGCACCCGTACTGGGTTGAGTGAACATCAGAGGGAGCTTGTCGAATACTTGTTGATTGGTCCTTACGTTACGAAACCCTTGACGATACCTGGGATTGTTTTTTTTGGTCAAAGACATTTGGTTTCTTCAAAATGCTACTTGCCATCTGATCGTCACAAGGATTGCTATAATATCCTGTTTTTGTCTTGATAAAGGTGACCTTTTGCGAGTTAATCTTCACTCCAACGTGGATGGTCGATTGCTTTTCTCTGTGCCAGTCCACGCCAGCATCGTGGCCGCGAGACCGAGTCACCGGTATGCGAGTTCTGACTCATCCCATCGGCAGTCCACTTCACATTTGGGAGTTGTTCCACCTAGCACTCCCACCTCTCCTCACGTAACTATCAGGAAGGGCTTACCCATCCCTTCTTCCTATCTTCCTGAAGCAGGAGAAAGTGCTCTGACAGACAATCAATTAGATAGAGACGCTGAAATTGCTCATGTCGGCGTAGCTTCACAGTGGCAACGCAATGAGAATCGCGAATGGAATTCGCTACGATCACTTGAATCTAGACCTCTTTCGGTATGAGAGTTGCTATTGACGTGGTTATTAGGGTAATAAGTGTTTTAACCTCTATTCTTTATTCCTTGTGTAGAAGAGGAAAAAACAGGTATTTGTTGCTTGTGGCTTTGTCACCACAAAAGCCTTTTCTGCTTTTGAATTAGTAATTAAAGTAGCTTATCATTTTATGAGAACTCTTAACTGATGAAAAAGCACGGCTGATTGTACTGTTAGGTTATACTATATACAAATATAATAACTTTTGAAATACTAGAAACAGTGCCATGACTTAGCGGTTGGTTTCAATTTAAACTTTCTTTGTCTAGAGCTCCTCTGTTTACGATCCACAACTCACTGAGCTTTTTGGCGGTTCACCTGCCCTGAAGGATGCCCCGGGGATGCGATCAAATTATCATCAGCAACATTCCCCCTTCGTTGAGACCGTTGAAAAGCATTTTGCGAAAAACCTCGAGAAAGACATCGTGGCATTTGTAGACCGTCCCAACGCTGATAGTAGCCTCAGTGAAGCCTCCTTGAAACTTGGGGGCTCCGGCAGTGTTGGCGATGTAAACCTTGGTGGTAGTGGACACCGCCCAGCATTGGAACTAATCATGTACATCTTGCTCGGTCTCTTCGTCCTTATTGCACTAATATTTGCGGTAAACTGTGGTGCCATGGTCGCTCGATACCGATGGGAACACGAACGAAGCACCAAAGAGACTCTGAGACTGCAACAACTTTCCGAATTGGCTATGAGTAATGCAAACACCGACGTCGCCGGCACCGCGGAATGTTCCAGTAGTTCGACAGCTGACGTGCAGTCCCAGGGAGACCGGGTCGACACGCTGGTACGTGCACGTATCTCCAAAACACACAAGGAAAGCCGTCTTTGTGGTCACATTTAATATATGCGCATTGGAGCTGGGCTGGTGAAGTAGGCAGAAATTTTTTGTCTTGTGACATCAAGCCTTGTTCCAAACTCTTCGAAAAGGGTTTAGCATAATAAGTTAGATGTTTTATTAAATTTTAGCTTTTTTCACTCTTTTGTTTAAATCACGCAATCGAGATCTAGGCGTTTTAGTTGTTTACACGAAGTCACTCTAAAAGATAGGGCATTGTTTTGCGTGCTTCTGGGTTCTTAATTCATGCAGTCACTCAAGCTCTGAATAAAATAAGACACATCTGTTATGGGCCTCGTTCATTTCCACTTATGTCCTAACGGTTTTCTTTCAAGTCTGATGGTGTACTTAGCCTTGATTAACTCACTTTTGTACCCACCAATTGTTGCCTGTTTCATTGTTAACAATAAACTGTGCCTAACTTGGTACCCTTTAGAACAAATCTTAGTTATTTTATTGGGGAAATTAATTTAATCAGAACAGAAGAACACGCAAATAGGTTACCTTGCCTTAACAGCCCAAATGCCATTATTATTTAGCTTGACCGGCTAACCTTTAGCTGAGTGATTGAGTAACAACTGCAAGTTATAAGCCTGCTTGACCAGTTTGGAAACTTTGAAAAAGTTAAGGTAGTTGTGGTGTTCTGATTCCTTTGCTGCAATATTAGCCAGCAGCGTTTTTTTAAATTAACAAGCATAATGTCCTAATGTCCTACTTTCGGGACGAAACTACTGATTTTCTGTTAGATTACTTTGAAAAAATTTTGTTTGGCACTATGTTCCATTTAAAATTTATCTACATAATCTTTTAAATTAAAATACTGCTACCGATTCGAGGTAAAAGCACTTGAATTTACAGGGGTACCTTTGCATGGAGACATGAGGTATCAATAAACTTATGTGATAATACCTAACTGTTGATTTCATTTCTCCTCTAGTGATGTTTTTTTTGTTTGTTAACATTACTTTGTGTTTTGTCCAGGTTTTGACTAGATGGAGGTTTAAAACGCTGCTTTCCTTTCCTTTAGGAACGCGTAGAGGTTCAGCGGGATGAGGCAACTTCCACCCCTGCCCACAGTGGCTGCATCGGCGCCTTAGCGATGCTTCGTGGCAAATTAGTTCTCAGAGTAAGTTCGGGCTCTTTCGTTTTCCCTTATGCCTTGTTGTCTTGTTAACTATAGAGTAAGGCCAATAAAAAGACGGAGAGAGCAATTGTTCTTGTCCCCCATCCGCTTTCTTTAATGATGGCTTTACTTCTAACCGGTGTACTGATCGTTAAGATTCCTCCAAAGTGAGACCATCCGACAGTTGAAAAGACTTTATCTCCACTGACGCGGTGCTTACTTGTGATTTATTTTACGTGCTTTGTCAGGTTTACATCAAGAAGGTTGAACCTATTTGAATAGCTCTTCGACTGTCCATTTTTATTTTCCGAAATGCACGTAATTGATATTTACTAGATTTGAGACACGGGCCCATCCATTTTCCTTAATCCTTTATCAATTGTGAAATTCGCGAAAAAAAATAAAAAGTCAGTAAGTTACATATCCATTGTAATTGCTTGCGACTTTTTCAGCTGTTCCACCAATTCCTGATCAAGTTTCGTCAACGGTCTCTAGTCCCGAAGTAAATGCTAAGGCAATATTCAAGGCCTTTGTCGATGCCGAATATCATGCCTAGCGTCTTCTTGCAGGTGAATATAAAAGGTGGCAATCTGACAGATAGGTCGGGTCATTGGGATGTAAAACATCCTTAAATTTTGCGGACAATTTCTACGCTACTCGCTCAGATCGCTCAAAATAATTGCACAAAGTAACACGAAAACATGCGGTGTAGAAAATGTAGACTTTTGTCAACTTGATATTCAACTTCCGGACTTAAAAGTAATACACGAGACTGAACATTTTAAAACGATTGTATCATTTCTGTTGAATAAAGAACATTGTTTAAGCGCAGAAAATTATCCAAAAATGCGAAATGGCAGTGAAAATGCAACTTAACACACAATTAATCCGAAAAAAACCGATGTAATTATTGGGGTGAACTTCCCACCCTTTTTATGAAGATTTTGTGTTAATTAGCTGACTTGCCAAATCCCCTTAAACGCTCCTGTTCCACCATGGGTTTGTAGTTCCATTTTGTCCCGTCACTACCACTTTTCTCTGCATTTCCGGTGCTCGTCAAGCTTTTTTTAAATGTTTCGATGCGCCTGGACATTTATGGTATGTTTTATCACTTCACTCAGTTTTTGACTTGAGCTCATTCGTTTCGTGAATTAAAAGGAATAATGCACTTATTATTTACTCCTCTAAGTGTTAAAAATTATTGATTTCAAAATTGGCCGTTTATTAAATACCTTACCATCGTCCTTATCTCACAACCAGTCAAAACGTTTTGTTTCTAATCGCAAATACCAACTTGTCCTTGTTCCTTCGTCATGTTCTACTGCATTTTAGCCCTATGAGATCGTCTAGATCATTGGGAGGATCTTATCTGTGTGATCTTTCCTTGACAGAGTCTGGACCCTAAATCGTAGTTATTACATGTAGATTTTATGTAACTTAAAATGGGTGTGTTTGATTTGTATTGCATCTTCTTCTGGTGGTGGTTCGATTCTTATTTGAGAACAAACATTTGAACAGACCTACAGTGATTAAATTCATTCATAAGCTAGAATAATCAGTTAATCTATTTGTCTTTCCTGGTCACATCTAGCTGCCTTTTCATTCTGAAATTGAAAAATGAGCCTTGGACTTATTAGCAAATATTTGGGGTTAATTGAAATTATCTTTGGCTGTATACCAAGAGTGGCTCAGCCTCGAACCGGATCTTAGAGTCATCAAAGCTGCATCCAACAATTCCATAAGTTACAAACTCTGTGAAGGATTGGCTCCCCACAGTCACCGGAGTAGCTAAAACATCATGTTCATTTCCTACTAAGATATTTTAACATTTAACACAAATTGGCTTTCTGAGCATTTGGGACTCAGAGCGTTGTCATTTGGATCATTCCTTAAAAAAACTTTTCTTGAAGAGATGGCCAGGAGTATAAGTCCTATTCCGTAGTCGAAGCCATCGAACAAGCCACTGCGAATGAATATCATCCTTGCAGTGCATGGCTTCAGTGTTTTGGGCGATAAATCCGAAAGTGTTTATTTCATAAACCCAGGGCCATCAATTCCTCTGTACACTAAGGTTGCCTTGAAATGATTATTGACTTCTATGTATTGACTTTTGTGTCCGTCGGGTGAATAAACGGATGTCTGTCCACATATGCCATCTTATTTGGGAATGGGTTCCGTCGGTGTCAATGGACAGTAACATGTTAAGGCACTCCACTTTCACATTTCCATTCGCTGAAATATTTTTAGCATCTGCGATAGAGTGAAATATTTCTAGTTAAGATCAACAGTTGGTTCGTTCAAATCTTTGGTTCCTATATGGCTAGGTTGACTCCTATGCTCCATAAATTTCATCGAATTCTACAAAATAAGATCGAATTCAGAATAATGAACGCGGACTATTTGAATGGTACGTGAGAAATCGATTCGTTTCCGCAAGTTGCACATTAATGTGGTTGATTGCACCGCCTTAAGACCTGGCTGAGTTTCAGCAGGACCACATAAAATCAGTATAATTCTTAGATATTTAGTCGGTTAGCTGTGTTCTCAAAGCTGGTTTCCACAGTGGGAAGCATGATAGTCTAGTGTAATTGCCTGATTACTTAGTAGCCCGAACCCCTTGATCAACATTCTAACATTGAGCAGTTCAAAATTGCCTCCCGGTAAATGCTTTCCTTTGTCCGTTAAATTCCTTTTTCAAATGCCTACACAAACGTCCATCTTAACAATCAACACGTAGTCTTTCATTTCGTGTTGATTGTAGAGCCTGTCCCATCAACGCATGAATCGCGACAACGACTGGGTGTGGCTTGGTCGGGACGCCCTGGCAGAGAGACAAGGCGAAACCCTCATTGAGCGTCTGGCTTCCACACCAACAACGGACTCGTCTAAGCATGCAGAATTTTCTCAGACCACATCAAGTGCTCGCGGCACAACGCATTTATTTGTGGCCAAATCCGCCCAAGGGTTGTCGTTTGATGACAGACACCACGGAGGAACTTTTCGGGCTCCAGCATCTAGGAAAATCCCAGCGCCGTCATGTTCGACCTGCCATTATAAGGTAATTTGAAATTTTGCATTATTCTATTGATAAAAATGGCCCCAAAACGCCTTTTTTGATAAAGACACTGGAATCTTGACCCATGCAATAAGCAGAAATGAGTCAGATTTATTACACTTCTCAGATTTCAGGTTTAACAAGGTGTGCATGACTTGGTCCAAAGGAACTTGGGCTACTTCAACGCAAGCCTAAATAAGTCGTTGTGATGCGTTAGTTTGGGGTTCCTAATTCGGAGGGTTGTGCAGGTATCAGTCTGACCAAATCTAACAGGTTGAATTTTTTCTCATGTGAAATTATCTGTGGCGCGCCTAGAACCCCATCTGGAATGCGAATGGCATTTGCAAATATAAGTGCCATAACCTTTCAATAAAAAATTAAACCGAATGGGTTAACAGACTGAGAACCTTGGCTAAATCCTGCGCGTATCTTGTGTTTTAATTCCCATAAGGAAAGTTTTAGTGTAATATTCGGGCAGCGTAACGCAAAGCTTGCCTGGATTAAAGTTTCTTTGATACACGCGCTCTACGTTCATGCACAACTGATTCAGAAATTCATTGTTTGTGGTTTTTGGTACCTAAGATAGATGCTTTTATCCGACAATACCTCTGTTTACATGCATTTTCTAAAAGGGTGATGAATGTAGCATCCGCATTCTAACCAACGCAACAGAGCCAGTCAAGTCAACCAACCCCACCGAGGTACCTGTATTGCAGCAAGGTTCGAACACTGGTCATCACCTCATGTCCGGTCCTCGACGGAACACCCACCAATCTCAACCTGGTTCATGTCGGCGCTCCATGTTTACTTTTGGTCAGTCCCTAATTATCGACCGTCAGAACCCCAACTGGCAATTCCCCATCGACTCCACTTTCCACCATCTTCACCAGCACCAAATGTGTTATTGCAGCAAAGGTGCTCCTTCCCCTTGGGTGTATAGAAGAGTACCAACTGAGACCTCTGAGCCGTCAGTGGCTGTTGATGGCTATCAGACTTTGCCTACAAATATTCCGGTTTGGCATGATGAAAGAGAGGGCGACATCCCGCCGAGTCCACCCGTGAGAACTTCATCAAAGTTACAGCCATTCCCACTTTTTATGTCCTATTATGGACAACAAAAGTTATCTTCCTCAATTACCCATCGACCAGTTAGTTTTCCTAATGTAAGTTAGATTTTTTTCTGGCCATTCGATGCAATTTTAATGTTATGATTTAATTGTGTTGAAATGATGTGCTTCAATGGATTTGTGAACGGGTGCAGTTAGCGTAAATTTGTTAATTATACCTAATTCAGGATTCATGCAATTAAACTGGGTTCAAAATGCATTGTTTTTACATTCCCCCAAAGTACCCTGGGTTGAGGACTCCATCTCATCGCCCCGTGGAAGTGGCGAGACTAGCAGCCCTTGTGGAATATATTTTTCTTCTTTAATTGCAACTATATAATGAACAAAACGCAATTATTTGCATGTGTTTCATTTTTTCTGGTGACCATTTGCCATGTTCGTGAAGACTTCATGATTTCCTGCTCTAAAAATTCCTTTCTCTATGAACAACTCAACATCTGCGATTTCAGATCATGGTCTTTAAGATCAAGCTTTTACAGCAAAAGAACATTGAAAATTGGGATATAAATGGTGATTAAGTGGTACAATTTCAAAGCTATTTAATGGAGACGACAATGCTTCCCAACCAAGGTGTAATGATTTTTTATGGGGTTATCCAAGTGTGGGCCCTAGCATTGCCCTGCTTGAACACGATTCCTTCGCGGTCGGCTAAATCTAATTTTCCTTAGTTTTATTATTTGTTCGAGGTGAACATCTAGCTCATCAGTTTGGTTTCCTAGAGCACTTCCACGTGCACCACACCTGTGTTATTCCATAATTAAATCACCTTTAAACGTGGTTTCTGGATGCATCTACCAGTTTAACACAGGACCCAAATGTAAAATTCTTCCATCGAATCTAAAGCATTCTCAACTTTTGAGCATAGGGGTAATGCATTTAAACTTGCAGCATTACGAGCAGATTTTGACAACTGATTTGATTTCTATGATTGGAGCATCACCAACTCCCTTAGGCCGACCAAAACGTAGACATACTATTAGGCGAAATTTCCAAAACGAAACTTACAATCTAAATGTTGTCACGTGCTTTGTGCTTTCTCGGTTGGCTAAAAGTGACAGATATGAATCATTAACGAAAAAAGAAAATGGTTACAAACTTCCTTCAAAGCAAATATAAAGCAATTTCACTTTCTTGTCGTCTCACCAGGCTTCACTACCTAGTGCGTAACTACCCTGATGCATATGGATGAATAGTTATAAATTACAAGAAGCAAATTTTAAAGGAAACCTAGAAGAACACGTCCATTAAGAATTAACTCAAAATTTTCAAGTAATGTGAAGCTGATGATTGCATTGACCTTGATTGTCTTGATTGTTTTGACTTAGAATTATTTTTTTATGAATCTAGGTGCAACACATAGTTTCTTACATAAAAAATATTTAGTTTTTGTTAAGTCGTTTTGCTATTGTTTTTAATGGGCGTTAAAATTATATCTGCAGAGGCCTGCACAACAGCCAGAGCCATCACTTGCAACTTCAGCTACGAATGCTGTTTATTCTCTCCTGGGTGGTGATGATACCTTAATTAGACAATCATCTATTCGATTACATCGTCAACATCAACAGAAGTCTCATCCCCAAACAAAAACTGATTTTCCCCGTCGAACACGCAGTTACAGCCGAATTGACGCCATTAACAACGAGGCTGAAGTTTCCATGTGTGCAAGCGGAAGTCAGCAGAACTCATCCAGACTATCCACTTGCTGTCCAATCGAGATACAATCAGTGATGTGCGGTAACTACCGCCATGAGGAAGATGCTATGGCAACGGTAGCCGCGTATTTTGACTGCGGCCCCCCTACTGTCCCAACTCCTGAACTCCACTCCAGTGTGTCGGAATCGATAAGTTGAACTTTGGGATGACGCACACAAAGGATTAAGCCTTTCTCTGTACAACCCTGTGATAAAGCGTCTCTCTGCCATCCTCTTGCCGATGCTTCTTCCACCCCACACTAAAGACCTTTTCTAGTTCACAGGATTCTATTCACAAACTACTTTCCTTCCTTCTTCGCTGCTAACTCATGTAGTTATGGGTGTGTGCTTATTTACTCCACAGTCAGTATGCTCAGTGGTGGTAAACAACGATGACATAGAATTAACACGTTAGTCGATCGAAAGTACGCCCGTATGTACACATCTCCATAAATGTAGTCTGAGTTTGTGTTTCTTCATTTTAATCCTTAATACTTTAATAAAATTAAGAGCTTAAACTGTGCTCTATTTGTGCAAAGATGCCGATGTAAACCACTTTTGTCAATCCAAGAGGTTCTTTATAGATAATAATGTTTGAATATCAGTCGAATCATCTTAATTTATCCACATTAAGCGCATGTAGACTGCTAAGATACACATGCTTTCAAATTACAGTGGTCAACTTAAGAGAATAGGGATACTAGCGATAAATAAACATGGTACATCCAGACATCAACCTCGTAGTTATCAATGAAGAAAATTTGTAATAATTATCTTAAAAAATTCGACATCCTTGTCCTTCGTATGCTTTCTTCTTTTTAAAAGCATTAAAAATAAAATCACGAATAGATTTACTGCTAAAATTGTCCAAACTTTGAAGATGCGAAATTCAAAGTGCTTCCTTGCACTTTCAATTTACACACTGCCATTTTTAACGTTCAAAATATTAGCGAGGACGTAAAAAATAGTTTAGTATTTCAGTCTATTTACTCAGGACTAACTGCCTTGCCTTAAGTTTCCGAATACTATAAACAGATATGCTGGATTGAAGCAAATATTTTGCTTTTATCTTACCACTACTTCGACTCAAACTTTAGTTTTATGAGTTTATCATCAAGATAAGAAACAGGATTATTTAAAGCTAGACCTAAAACTAATAAATATTCTGTCTTGCTATGGTCATCAAACGAAGTTGAATACCTGAGCTTTACCATTATTAAGATGTGTATTACTAAACAAGCTTACTTGATAGACCACAAACCAAAAAAGGCTTAGTCCATTTGAGTCCAGCAGACAGATTGTGTGATATTTCAAACAGCACTTCACATCCATCATTGCTTCTACCTTTGATCTGCTAGGTAAGCCATTAAAATTCTGGAAAAAAGGAGACCTAACATCATGGGATGATCTAAACATGCGATGGCCTGAATAAACACAACCAAAACCAATGTAGAATACGCGAACTCTAGTATGAAAATGATTGGTACAAGATATAAGTCCTTATTGACTTGAGTGACATCCACCAGAGTCTACCACTCTGCCTACGCCGTTCATTTTATACCTCTTCTTATACGTATCCGTCTGTTTGGGTGCAAATCTTCCTCGCAGGATAATCGAATACAACCAGACAGATGATTGACTGAGGCCGGCGTCGTTCAATATGTCTGCGCCTGCAAGCGTCGCTACTGTACGCATAAGCCTCATAGCATGATCAAAAGAGGATAAGGCAACTGGAGTCATTTAATAAAGGCTGGAAAAAGTCACAATCTGCTCGGGCGTAAGGAAGAAAACAGGGTATTTATCTACCCTTGTCCTGGTTGTCCTGTCCTCCCGTTGGTCCGTTCCGCGGCACTGTAATAGAGACGCAAACTCGTGAGTGAATTGGTTCTCAGCCCCTGGCCCGTCATTTAATGCCCGCGTGACGCCACGCATCCGAAAATCGCGCCCCCGGTCACATGATGTCGTCACCACGCCGTGCTGACTACCTTCGACCAATGACTGGGCGCCAAGATGACGACTATCTGCCATTACGCTACATTACACCAGGTGTAGAATGCCTAAGGCCTGGTATGAAGAAGACTAGCGCAACAGAACAGGCTCTTTTGACTAGTCATAAGCCAGAAGTACGGGTCAGGCGTCTTCCATCCGAATCGACGAGGCTGCCTACTCCGATAATTATAAAACGCTTCTCACATGTATCTGTCTATGGTTGGCTGCATATCTTCCTCGCATGCCATTGGAACACAAAGAGACAGAGGATTGACTAAGGCCGGCGTGGTCCGAAATGTTTGTGCCCTTATGCGTCGCTACATGTGTGCATGAGCAGAGTTTTCGTGTAGAATACCCGAACCATAATAAAAAAAGATTGCTACAACAAAACTGGCTTTATTGACCAATCACAAGCCGGAACCACGCTTCATGTCCCGCCCATCCGAGTCCACCATGCTAGCCACGCCGCACCATATATACTGCTTCTCATTTCTGTCTGCCTCTTGTTGCGTGTCTCTATTCCTCGCATGCCATTGGAACGCAGAGAGACAAAGGACTGGCTTAGGCTAGTGTGATCTAATATGTCTGCGCCCTTATACGTCGCCACTGTAGAATACACGAGCCCAAGTGTGAATAAACCTGGTAAAACAGAACAGGCTTTATTGACCAATCAGAAGGCAGAGCCACGCGTCAGGCGCCTTCCATCCGAGTCCACGATGCTGGCCACGTCGTTCACTGTATACTGTACCTCATTCGTGCCCATCTCTGGTTGGCTGCCTACCTTCCTCGCATGCCATTGGAACGCAGAGAGACACAGCATTGGCTGACGCCAGGTGGTCCATTGGCTGACTCCCCTTCAGAAGTGAAGTTGTAATCAGTTTCTGGCTTGGTTCATCGCACTGTTCATGATTGTACAAATATCCAGTTCGACACTCCCCGAACCCCACATCTGACAGGATAGTGGCCTGTGGTCTTTGCCTGTGCTGACCATAGAAAAGAAAGGGCTGGGGTTTGATTCGCGTTATTCGAACGCATCCGCTGCCACCAATGTAGAATACCCGAGACCTAATAGGTAAAACACCGGTACAACAGAACAGGCTTTATTGACCAATCAGAAGCCAGAGCCACACATCAGGCGCCTTCCATCCGAGTCCACCGCGCTGGCCACACCGCTCATTATATACTGCATCTTATCCATGTCCTTCTCTG